ATTCGTTTTCTACAGCCATAGTGGAAGAGAGATTGTCCCTATTTCTTTTCCCTGGCAGCATTCAAAATTTAAGCCCTGGGATTTTGAAATCGCTGCTACAGAGGACCCTAAACCACAAACCACGGCAGCAGGCTTCCCATTTCACCAATCGCTGTTTGCCCAAAAACACCCTTTAACGCCTCAAGGGTGACTCTCTATAATTTGTAAAAGGAAAAAGGAGCGACTAGGGACCCCACGGGGCACAGTTCCTTCCCACACACGAATCACATCCGCACCGGGGTCTCCCCTAAAACCCTCCAGTCCTCACGGCACAATCTGGGGAGACGCGGGGCTGCAGCGTGGAGCTGCCCAGAGACCGCTCCGGCCAGGGCCGGGGTCGCCCCGGGGGGTTAGGACAGGACGCTCGGGGTCCCGGCTGCCGGCCCAGTAGCCATCGTGCGGCGGAGGGGACCGAGGGCCGAGACGCGCGCGCGGGGACTCGAGCTGACCGCGGGGAGGCCCGGTGCCCCCGCAGCGGGTTTCCGCCGCTTCCGACCTCCCCGCTCCCTCCTCTGCGGATACCCGACGCGGCACAGTCACCATTTCCCAGTTTCCGGGATGTCCTGGCGTCTTAGCTACGGATCTCCACGTGCCTGCAGCTCACAGAGCAACAAAGGCTCTGTTTATTCTCAGACCGCGAAGCTGCCTGGGTCTCTCGGATCCGAGGACTCGGAACCGGAGTGAGGCGACCCTAGCTCTGACTGCAGCCAACAAAGGCCCCAGCCAAATCCCGGAAGCCGCCGCTGCTCTCCGGCTGCTCCTGATTGGACGATTTCCACCCCAGCGCCCCTGATTGGGTAAAGCTCCAGACCCCGCCCCTCATTCGTTCATCTTTTTTTGAACAGGACACAGGCTCTTTGAGGTGCGGCCGCCTGCCGTGGTTATTACAGCTAATTTTGGGGTGAGCTAGGACTTGAAATGCACTTGCTTTCCCTTACCTGGTTCTGCTTGTATAAAGCATCTTATTACCTAATTAAATTTAACAAGGAGGGCATTTGGACACCTTTAAAACAACTTTAACGTTTTAATAACACAGTAAAGACCCTCATCCCATCCCTTAGCACTTCTCTCACCATCTTACCGCACGGCTCAGGACACAACTGTGAAGACTGCAGAGGGAACTGCTGGGGGTTTGGGGAGCAGGCGGGAGGCTTCAATGGCCAAGGCACTGGTGGCTTCCCTTGGGTGTCACTTAAAATCTGGAGGTCAGGGACATCTTTTTTACACTTGGCCCAGGGAAACTAACAGGCATGAGGATTGTAGTTTCTTTTTTCTGAATTTTCAGGCAATAAAGGACTATCCAAACATCCCAAAAGGCATTCAATGACAGATGAGGCTGAGGGCCTCCCTGCTCTGGAGAAGGATGGCCTGGCAGCAGCCATCAGCTGCAGTGAGCTGAGATAGCACCACTGCAATGAGCCTTTAATTTACCCTCTTGTAGACGGGCCACCCACACACACCCACTTCTTACTTCGCAGGCTCTGTCCCTCAGGTCCATTATGGTGGGCTGACTTCTTCCTATCTCATTAGCTCTCTACAGGCATCTAGTGAGCTCTAAACCCTACCCCAGGATGGCAAACATCAGGTCCTCCTCCACTCTCCTGGCACTCATGCTATCTGGGGAGTGCTGCCAATCCTACCTCAACTGAAGGGACAGGGGCACATGCCCAGTCAGACGTTCAGTGACCTAGAAGGTCCAGCATGCCCAGGGCCTGGCCCCACAGCCTAGCACCCCTCCCCCACTTGGCCTTCACTCCAGCCTTTTTTCTTGTCACCAATGATGGGATGTTCACCTGTGCCACAATCCCATGAGTCTAGTGACGGCCAGGTAAACCCCAACTGAATGCCTGTGACTCCACCCTCTTACCTCCCACTCAGGTGACAGTACAAGCATAACCTTCAATTTGACCTAATTTATACAGATTCCTCTCCTAGTAAGCTGACAACAGCCCTCGCAGTCCAATGAGACTGGGGCAGCAGGTTCCAAAACCTCACTTTATTTCAATGTGAAATGAAGACACGATGGTTTAAAAATGAGAAAAAGTTCCTCATCAGCTGTGGGGGTGCTCCACTTGCCAGCTATGCCCACCCCCTCTGAAACAAGGTGTCTGGTGACACTATACCCATAAGCAGCTCTCTGCAAAGCCCCAGGCAGAGGTCGCAGCCTAATGTGGCTCCCTCAGGCTCACAGAGTAGTAATCTCCTCCCCCAGTCCAGGCTCCAATAGCAGGCACAGACAGATGGAGAGAGGGTGCAGCCGTGACCTGTGGGGTTCCCTGCCACCCGCAGAGCTAGTCTCTGCAGAAGGTGCTGTGTGGCCAGGAGCAGGGCTCCACAGAGAGGTGGCAATCCCTCTTGTGTCTGTAACCTTTCCCCAGGATCCATGATTGGGCCCTGGTTCCCCAGGTCCCTTACCCCACCCTCCCTGTGTCAGGCAGCTCAGGTTAAAATGGGGAGAATGATATATTCAGACTGTAGACCCCAACGTTATGTCCATCTGGGGTGCAGGGAGTGGGGGGGGCAGTCAGAGCCTGTGGCAGCACCTCTTGTTGGGCATGAGGGCAAACAGGCCAGGGCTGGGCACAGGGATATCTAGGGGACCACCACTGACAAACCCATCCCCCTTGGCCTACAGCTACTGCCAGGCCAATCATGATTAATAAAACCACTGCAGACTTCATCCTGCCACAAAACGAAAGTGCACCCCAACCCCCAGCCCTGCCACAGAGCCCTGGCTCCCCATCTTTTTTGGCTTATGACTTAAGACTTTAAGCCAGGTTGGGCCTGGGAGTTGTGTCAGTAAAAGCAGCAGCCATAATGCCAACCATGCAGATGAGCTGAGAAATCCCATCTGCACGTCATCCACTTACCACTGTCTTGGCGCGACGTACAGGCTGGGAAGGACAGATCAATACTCACGCCCTCCACACCCCTGCTAGAAGATGGGGAGGCTGAGGGAAATATGGGGAACCTGAGGGAAAGATGGAGCCCAAGGGGTGCCTCAGCTAGGAACTGAACACCGTACACTCCATTCACGAGTCTTCAATTAGGCCTTTGCATTGCATATTCACTAAACCAGTGCAAAAGCATCTTTTAGGAGGGCAGGCAAGCTGAGTTCCCAGGAGGATGGTAGGGGTGGAACATGGAAGAGGGGCTCGCCTCTTCTTCTGATCTGCAAGCCTGCCCCCTTCTCCTGGAGTCTGCATCACCGATAACAGGGCTGTTGACTATCCCTCTGTCTCTCCCTCTTGACCCCTGCAAGCTCAAGGGAGGTTCCTTGGCAGCCACAGGACTGAGAGCTCAGTTCCTCTGGTCTGGCTGGCTCAGGCTCAGTGGCCATAGGCTCCTCAGCCCTAGGTCTGTTTTCTTGTTTTTGAGACAGGGGTTCCCTCTATCACTCAGGCTGCGGTACAATGGCACAATCATGGCTCACTGCAGCCTGGACCTCTCCAAGTGATCCTCCCATCTCAAACTGCCAAGTAGCTGCAACTACAGGTCACACCACCACACCAGACTAATTTTTGCACTTTTTTGTAGATGGGATTTCATCATGTTGCCTGGGCTGGTCTCCAACCCTTGAGGTCAAATGATCCGTCCACCTCGACCTCCCAGAATGCACCATCCCTATTTTAATGGACTCCTGGAGCTGGTGGTGCTGCATCACCTCTGCTATCAGATTCTCCTAGTCTTCTGGCAGGAGAGGAGGTGGTTGACAGACTGGGCCAGGGACCTTGGCTCCCCTCTGGCTTTGTTAAACTCCCACTTGAGACAGGTCAGGGTCTGTGCCATATTCAATGAAACGTGTGGAACAAGTGCTTCCCTCCCAAAAGCAAAAAGATCCCTAACTGCTGGCAGTCAGGATTCCATGCACATGACTCAGCCTAGGGCCCAGCTGCCTCTCACCCTCACACCCAGTTCCAATCGCTGCACTCTGTGGCATCCCCACTACCAGATTAGGTATAGACAATGGGTGTGCGGCAGGGCTGCTGACACCCCTGGCTGACCAAACCCCTTTCCCACAATGAGGGGAGACAAGGCGGGAAGTTAGGGGCTCCCAAAGGCAGCACTGCTTGTGTCAGCACTGCAGGAGTCCTCAGGGCCTGCTCCTAAGGCACACTTTGCACTGGAACGAGAGGCAGCTGGGGAAAGAATAAAGCCACTCCTTAGGAACTGAAATGGAAGATCACCAAGATGTATTGTTAAATGAAGTAAACAATAATAACCTTCATCCGTGGCCTGCCACAATTTCAAAGAAAAAAGGGGAGAAAAGATCACATGGAGTATTTCTGGAAAGATTCACAAGGAACTTCTCACCACTGGTTGCACTTTTCAATTTTGGGCCATGTCAGCATATTATATATCCTAAAAAACTAAAGGCCAACTTCTAAGTAGCAAGCTGTGGAGGGGCCTTAGCAGAGAGGAATGAGGAGGATGTCACTGATGACCTGGAGCTGCTATAAGATGCTGGCCATGCTGGGAGCTGTGAACCGAGGGGCTGTGGGGATGAGCTGTGAGTGAGGCTCAATCTACTCGGGCTGGGTGGGGGCCGGGCTCCACCCACGGACACACCTGGAGGGGCAGGACAACGGCACTGCAGCCGACTGGTAGATTCCATTCACGGTGCGCTGCTGGGCCACGGCCTCCTGGGCCAGGCTCTTGAGGTTCTCACCCAAAAACAGGGGAGAGAGCAGAGGCAGGAAAGGATCAGCTGCCCACAGGTGCAGTTCAGCCCACCAGCCCTGGCACAGCCCACCTGGGCCTAATAGATGATGTGGATGCTGTCAGCTTCCTTCTCCTGCTGCAAGGCCGACCAGAACTCAGCTTTGCTCTCACAGACCCAAGCAACAAGGTGGTGGCTGCCAGATCTCCCCAGAAAGGAAGAAGACAGCTAGAGTATGGAGGTGACGGATAGGGGTCCCCATCAGGCCAGGACTCTCAACAGAGACAGGAATGCCACTGGCTTCTGAAAAAGAGTTACTTGTGTGTAGGACATTTAACATGGTCAACTCCTAAGCACAAAACACCAGCAGCAGCAATGCTTGGGGACTGTGACCTTCACAGCCACCCAGCGACTTCCAAACGCTCCTAAGGAGAACAGCACAACTCAGCTGGGCCATTGGTTTGACTGCTCGCTAGCTTGCAACCGACACAAAGCTCCCAATCTGCATCTGGGAGCCTGATGGCAGGGTGGGTGGGAGATGGGGAAGGGGCTCTAGTTAGTGTGGCCAGAAGGAGCCCTGCTTCACTGTGCAGAGCTTCTCTCCTCAACGATCCAGCCCCAGAACAACCCAGGGTGCCCATGCCCCCAACAGGGTGCGGCGGCTGCAGCTCCAACCTCACAGGGCTGCTCCTCACCTGTGCTCCACGAAGGCATCCACGAGCTCCTGGCGCAAGCAACAGAAGCTGTGCCTGTAGGTGCAGGAGAAGGTGGCATGGGAGCACCCCTCTGGCAGCTCCTTGGGGGGTACAGTAAGGAAGCTAAGGTCAGGGGAAAGGGGCTCAGCAGGTAGAGAACGCAGTGGCACCTGTCATTGCCAGTGATGCCCTTGCCCTCACCGAGAAGAGCTCCACCTCCTCATCGCAGTGGTTGAGCACACAGTGTCACAAAGTCTTGAGCAGTTAACTCGTGCTCCAGCAGCCCCAGGCACCACGGGGGCCACACCACTGTTTTTGCAAGGCCAGTGAAGCTACAGATGACACTCTGCTCCTGGTCCCACTCCAGGTTGCCAGGGATGAGGACTGGAACCTGACCCAGTAGCTGCAGTCATCCATCTTCACCGTGTCCAGCATGTACAGAACCTCCAGGTCCGCTGCACTGCACAACTGCTCACCATTCAGGTCACTGGTGAATGCTGTGGAGGCCGCCACGTCCCCAGCAAAGTCCTTGTAGTGGCCACTAACAACAAAGCCCAGGCTGAAGACAATGTGGCTCCAGATGAACATCTGCAGCTTGGTCTCCTCACTGGGGCTGATGGCCATGACGATGCCCCTGACTACCATGGCGCCCCATGTGGCTGCCACCCTGAACTTGCTGTGCGCCTGGGAGGGGCCGATACTGGGAGGGTGAGAGGCCACACCCACAAAAGCCTCAGGCTACATCTACCTGGCCCAGCTCACCAAGATGGGGGAGGCAGCCAGGCCTGCCTTGGGAGCCAGGGACTCTTGCCTCAGTTTCCTTATATTTAGAGAAGGGCAAGAAAGCCATTTTTTGAAAAAACTAAACACTTAAGGAGGTGCAGAGCTTAGTGGCTAACAAGGAGTGCGAGAGCTGGGGCAGGTTTGGGATCCACAAGTCATGTGCCTGGCAAACCTGGGCAGGTAACTTCAGACTGTTTCTCATCTACACAACAATGACAAAAAGTACTGATATTTACAAGGGGACCAGAAGATTATAGGAAATGATGCTTATAAAGCACTTGGAATCATCCTGGTAAAGTTAGTACCCAAGAAATTACTTCTTCCATTATCACCTCTAGGCAGGAAGTTCAGGAGAGACTTTTTTTAAACAATTATTTTGTCCTCATTTCTCTCAGAAACAGCATTAATGACATTTAAACCCCAACGAGCTGAAAGTGCTACGTCAATGAGCCCCTGCCCTAGAAGGGCCATGCTGGGCACTGTGTGCTCAGGGAATGGCCCCATGGCACTCAGTGGAGGGTGGGAAGCTGGATGGCTCTGGCCGCTCAGCCCAGATAGCAGGTGGAGCCTTCTCCTCCCAGGGACCCAAAGTCTCAAAGAGGCCAGAGAAAGGTGCTGGGATGGTCTACCAGGAAGCAGAAGGCTAGAAGGACTTCAGGGCACCTGACAGGGCTGGGACTGTGCCAGCTTCCCTCGCTTCCCTCCTGTGCACAAGAAAACCTTCCAGCAGGAGGCAGGTGGGCCTGAGGCTGTGCTGCTGTCACTCACTCACCAGGGGCTTTGGGCCCCTTGAACATGGCTCTTTCTTGTAGCAGCTGCTCAGGTTGGTTCTTGTTGGGCACATTCCTCACTATCTGCAGCTCCTCGTTCCAGTTCTGGGGCTGCAGAGGGACCAGGGAGGGAGACATGGGCTCAGCCTGTGCACTGCATCCTGCTCTGGGAAGTCCCTTCTCCTCCCTCCCCACGTACAGCTCCAGATTCCCCAATGAGCAGACCTGCATGGAGCCTCAGGGAAGTGCACAGAACCCCATCTGGCACCCAGGAAGGAAGGGGGTTCCCAGTGAGGGTAAGGTCAGGCCGCAGGCCCCTATGCAGGACTGTGCTCCTCACAGCCCAGCCTCAAGGTGCAGGTGCTTCTCCACACATGCAGTCCATAGTGTGCTCCGACACAGGGGCCATCCAGCTGCATGCCTGGAATGGGGTGACCCCCTTTGGAATGGGTGGTGCTAGACCCGACGGCAGGCAGGGGAAAGGGAGATGGGGCCACCCACCCATCTCAGGGCCCTGCCACAGGCTCTTTCTTCACAGAGGCCCTCACCTGCTGTGGGTTCTCCTGGCCCTGAGACACTGCCCTGAAAGATGAGTCAGAAGCACATGGGCGCCACTCCCAGGCTGCTCTCTCCAGAGCTGGCTCACAGCTCCCTAGAGGGAGACTTGGCCACTGGGGTCCTGGGAGCAGTTTCTTTGGGCAGAGGCACTGAGTTCAGGCTAGCTGAATCATCCCAGACCCCCAGGTGACATGCGCCAGGGCAAAAGGAGATGGGGCAAAGGCTTCCCCTTCCCCTGCAGCAGGGCACAATGTTTTGTAAAAAGGCAGTCAGATCTGGTGGAGCAGCTCCCCTGGGAATGGCTTAGGAAGCAGAGGCTGGTGGGCTTGGGGTTGAATTGACAGGCTGGGGACCTACAAGGAGAGGATGAACCCTGAGTGGGTGCCCCTGGTGGGCTGGCAGGGACTCACCGGTTATGGTAAAAGCCCCGTGTGGATGTGGTGATGCTGCCTCACTGGTCCTTGGCTGTGATCACAAACAGGTACACGAGGTGCTGGTGCATCTTGCAGTTCTCAGGGCACAGGTTCCAGCTGCTCATGGTGGGCACTTTCAGGCGCTGCAGGAATGGCCAAGCATGAATGGGCCAGACCTCCTGGTGTGTGTCTTCTTCCACCCCCAGACCACCCCCCCCTGCAGGGACCCTCTTCCTTGCTCCTCCCTGGAGTCCCACCTTTTAGTCACGGTTCTGGGGCTGCAGGGGACACAATGGCTATTCCCAGCTCCCTAGCAGGATGTACTTGGGTGGTGTGCAGCCAGTGGGGTCCATCTCTAAGCCTTTCTGCTCCTGCCATCTGAGATACCTGAGGCTGGTGGTCAGCACACGGGTACCCAGGGCCAGCTGCCTCTAACTGTGGCCCTGGTCTGGGTTCCTCAGGCCCAGGCCCCTCCAGGTGGAAATGGCCTGGCCCTCAGCCCCCTTCACCAGCCTCTGGCCTCCTTGCTCCCTGCCCCTCTCCAGTCTGCCCCAACTCTGGTCCCAATGCCTCCGCCCCTCCCAGGTCAATGTCAGTGAAGACACTCAGGAAGGACAAGGAGCTGCATAACCCAGGTCTGGGCTCCTGAGCAGTCTCAGATGCGGCACTCGTCCCCACAGGCCTCGTGCACTGTGCAGGGCTCTGGCAGGAACAGGGGAGGGGCGGGTGTGACCAGGGCCCTGCACCTGGAGCAAGACACCCAGCTCAGAACATAGTTGACAAGGGAGCTTCATGGATGATTTTAATTTTCAACTGAGGCTTCCATTTTCAAATTCCATCATGAACACATAAGCTAGAGTTTTGGTTTCAATACACAAATGTACATGCACACACACACACCATGGGTTGCTGGGGGCAGGAATCCATGCCTGCAAAGACCCTCCGCCAGTTGCTTCTGAAGCACACACAGACCTCGGGGAGCCCAGAAGACCTCTTGCTTTCTGTGCACCAGTGTCAGGTGGGCAGGGCCTGTGGTGCTGTGGGGCCCCTGCAGCCTCCCCCTGCTCTACTGGGGCAGATTTCATGCAGGGGTGACCTGAGAACTTCCTAGGGCTGCCACATTCAACCGCCCCCATTAAGTATCATGGGTTTTAATGGTCATTCTTTCAGGGGAGAGGAGAGGTTGTGATGAACTGTGGGCCCCCTTCAGCTACACGCTTTTGCCACAATTGCTCTTAATAAGTATTCAGGCCCTGGGAACTGGAGTGCTTTGCCCCAGGGAAGCTGAGTCTTTAGGAGCTTTTATTTGACAACAAGCCAGGCTCCCCACACCAGCTGATGGTGCTGCTTGGAGCCGACTCCCGCACTAAGGACTGTGAAACTTTTTACTTTCTTTAGGAGACTAAGCATTCATATTTTCAGAATTTAACTGGGCTGATTCCAAGCCCTAGCTTGGTACTGTTTGACTTTCTTTTCAGAATTTCAGCTGCTTTTTCACCTCTGGGCCATGAAGGTAGAGTGCAGGTGTGATGGCCTGAAAAGCAGACCTGTGCTCCAGTCCAGCCTCCACGTACTCATCTGCCACACAGAGACCCCAGCTGGGGCAGTGAAGTGTGGACCCGCCCTGATTGCAGGCCTCCCTGGGCAGGCCGCCCAACTTCCAGACCAACCTTCTACCACGTGGAGCACCAAGCCCTCCTGCGGCCCTGCCATGCCGTGCAGCTCTGAGAGGTGGTCCAGCGTGCTGCCGCCCAGGTGCAGTGAGAAGTGATGCAGGGACATGGGTATTCATGGCACAGGAACACTGGTGGATCTCCTACACCATCTCCTGGGGGGACACCTGCCAGGGAAAAGGCCCGGACCACCCTGGTGAGAGGCCACATGGTAGGGAGAAAGGACACACCCCTTCCCCAGCCCAAAACACCTGGGTCCTGAGAATAAATGTCTCAAATACTCAGTTTCCCACTTTGTGGTTTTTACATTCCAGGCCCTGTCCATATACAGCACACCCATCAGCACCTGTGTGCTTAAGTGCAGGACAGAGCTTGGCCCCACTGACGCTTTCCACAGCCTAAGAGCAACCCCGGAGCAGAGAGGGAGATGGAAGAAAGCAGGGTGTGAGAACAGCAGCCTTGCTCTTGCCCTTGCCTAGTGCCAAGGGCTGAGCAGCCCAGGGAAGATGGCCTTTTCCTTCCTGAAGGGGTGCTCCAGGGCCCAAGCCTGTGAGTAGAGAGGACATGAGAGGGCCTTGCCCGGCTCCCCACCAAGTTACCAGCTTCCAAGTCCTCCGGGTTGGCTCTGTCCTTGGAGAACACCCAATATGACTCCCCAACCCCCATGCTGCAGATGATAAGGTCGTGGCCCAGAGAGAGGTGACTTGCCTGAGGGCACAGAGCAAGAGGCTGGGGCATCCTGGGACCTGACACTCCTCACTCCTCTCCCTGAACAGGGCTCGTAGGCCCAGCTGCTAGCTGTCCTCTAGCAATAAGGCAGTGACCTGAACCCAGACTCCATTCCCAGGTCCACCAAGTTTGCAGAGTGACCCAGGCAGGGCCCAGAGCCCTCCATTTTCTGCCTACAGCATGGTGTCAGGAGGACCTGGGGCAAGGCTGGGCTTCCCACCCTCATCCTCCCCAGCAGGCTCAGGCCTTGGTCCCCAGCTCCCCTCCTCCATTGTACCCACAGGGAGAAGGGCTTGATCCCGGGGCCAGGATCTCCACAGAAAAGCCCGAATCCTGAATGGTGACTTCCTATTTGGTGGTGGCATCTCCTGGCTTGGCCTCATCCAGCCCATGCTCCCGGGGCAGCTCAGCCTCCTCCTTCCTCCTTCAGGCTCTCCAGGCAGTTCCCATTCAAGAACATGAGTGATGGTGGCTCTGGGGGTGACAAGAAAGGCACTGAGTCAGACGCACCTCAATGATGAGGGAGGGCTGTCCGCCTCACCCCTCCTGGGTGGGCATGAGTCATATGGAACGGTGTCCATGTGCCCTTCTGGGCCTCGGCCCCACAGTCCCAGCTCACCCTCAGCACACCTGCAGGCTGCCACCTTCTCCCTTCCACATCCCATGCCTCCCTCCTCTGCTGCTCCTGGACCCACCACAGTCCGGCTTCCACCTAAGCTCATGCCCAAAGCACTCTCCCCACATCACCAGGGCCACCCTCAGGGCCAAGCCCCAGGGGCTTCTCCAGCCCAGACACATCCCTCTACTCAGCAGCACCCCAGGCCATGGCTCACTGCCTCCTCCTCCCTGACCAATGCCACACCCTCATCCTCCCTTCTCCAGCTCCATCCTCTTCCACCAGTCCTGAGCTGGGAGGTGTTGGGCTCCACCCTCTCCTCATTCTCACCTCACCCCCTCCCATGGCTTCAAAGGTCCTCCCATTTCCCAGCTCTTATAGACAAGCCTGGCCTCGATCAGGCTTCTCGGACCAAGGAGACAGCTGCCTCCTGGGCATCAACATATGACTCTCACTTCAGTATCACGGAAGACTCATCCTGCAGTGATGAAACTCATCTTCCTCCACAAGCTGGTCTCTGCTCTGCGAAGGCCCCCCATTCCTTATGAAGTCACCCACCCTCATTCTCCCACCTTGTATTTCAGCAGTGCCACTTGGAACCCTTCTAAGCAGCACACTGCTCACAAATCAA